TTCAGGCCAACAATGAGTGAGAGTTTCCTGATAAACCACTAAAACATTTACTGCTTAGACTAGACTGCAGGAAAATGATGTTCAGTACATGGCACAGAATAGGGAACACACTCACACACACACACACAAACACACACACACACACACACACACACACTCACACACATACACAAAAGATATCCAAAGTGTCTGGATGTTTACAAGAGTCTCCCTTTGTCTGAGTCCTCCCTGTGTGCAGGGAAGATAATCTCTGTAAGTTCCTCTGGGAATCATAGAATGTGTTGGTGTTGCATGCTTGGTGTGCATCACATTATCTGTAAGTTTCCATCAGAAAACTCCTGCCATTCAGATGAGGACAGCTCTTTGTTATTCAGGTGCAGCACAGCACATTTTTTTTTTTTTTTTTGGAAACTCTTTCTAAACCAGATTCCTACTGGGAACTCATTTCCTTTTCTCATCTCTTAATCATAATCCCCCTCTACACTAGTCTGCTTCTAATATAGTTGATGTTATGTTGAGAAATCATGAGTGTGCAGAAAATATATGTAGCAATATACAAACTTTTATTGTCTATGCATTCAGATATGAAACCTCTGTGTCATGTCACAGTTTCATCTTTGGATTTGTTGATGACAAAACTGCTTTCAATTATGTATGAATAAAAATATATTCCTATGTACAGTAAGATATGACTTCCTGTAGTTCATAACTTTCCCAATATGTATAACTTATGATACCCATTCAAATTGTACTGGTAAGTTTGCCATGTACACATGGCTTGTTGCCACCCTTCAGATATGCATCTATCACATGGCTTGTTGCCACCCTTCAGATATGCGTCTATCCCATGGCTTGTTGCCACCCTTCAGATATGCGTCTATCCCATGGCTTATTGCCACCCTTCAGATGTGCATCTATTTTATCTGATACTCTTTCCCTCTTAATTTTAAGTACAGATATTATTCACAACATAAAACTATGATTGAAAATTATGCAATTCCTTTTCTTAATGAATAAAAAGTTATTTAAAAGTATAATGCTCTGGAAGAAAGCCACATGAGTTAATTTAATTTATTTTCTCTAGTTCTCATTTCTTGAGTAAATATTAATATGATGTATAAATTCAGAAGTCCCAGCCACAAAGCTGCCTCTAACCTTGTGGCATCATGGTGACACTTTGGAAGTTCCTCACATAGCATATGCTGGACTTGTTATAATTGTTGTCAGTGATTCAATTTCTAATAACAGATAATAGTGATTTGTGAATGAAAACTGTTTTGCTATAGAATGAAATATAGTTCTATTAATAAACTTCTTCATTTACTTTTTATTTCCTGTTAGTACTTCCTTATTTTCTTTTTTTAATTTAAATTTTTTTATTCAGTTTACATACAAATCACAGGGAAATCTGCAATCAGGATGTATTATGTGAGAGGAGGTTAAATAAATAAATAAAAATAAAATCTCAATGTTCAAAGTAAAAAACAACAAAGAAGAAACAAATAAAAAAGATAAGCACACTTCTATTTCCAAATCTTTTCTAGTATTCTATGTATAGACTCATACTTATCCATTCCATTGAGAACAACACTAAAGGCTCAGAATGTTTAAATTCATGAAGACAGTAGATTAGTATGCCATGACTTGTAATATAATACTCGATACATACAAACTTTGACTTCACTGAGAATGAGGTCACTGTCTTTTGCACAAGATACAATCACTGCACTTGGTTTAGAGAATGAGCTCAGCCTGTCTTGATTGAGAGATGCATGCACTCTCTCTAGCACATCCTAAACTGAAATTGTACCCATTATTATAAATTATGTTTCTTTAGTTTGACCACAGAAATGATAGGCACAATACAGAAATGTTGTCTACCCATATGCAGTTTTTTATTTAATTTATTATTTTGCATGTCGATCCCAGATCCCTCTCCCTCCCTCCCTTTCAATTTCAAGAGAGGAAAATATTGAAACCCACATCACACTCAACTGTTGTTAGTTTCCTTTGATTTCCAATCAAATTTATTAATACTATGCACATTCCCTTTATGTCCTGACACAAATGCAAGCCAAACACAACATAAGTTGGCTTGCCAAACCCACACAGTAAGCTTGAACTTTTGAAAGACACCCAAATGATTCTAAGGGATGTACAACTAACAGCTTTCAATCTTTGCTGTTTTAGATTTTTACAGAATTAGCATAAGGTTACAAAACTAACCAATGTCTAGCCTTTATTGTTGCTATATATTTCTGTTTCTTTTGATTCTCTTAGTGTGTCTGTTTTCATTAAACACATTTGCAGGTTCTCCTATCTTACCATTTTGCATATTGATGAGTTTGTTACAGAATCATTTCTCCATATAAACAGCCTCGTGGTAATACTAATGTGTATATGATAATTATCAAATCCTCTATGAAGTTCTCCTGTGCTTTAGACCAAAACATTACTGATGAATATTACCTATTTAACACATTTCTCAGAGTCGCCCAGATAAGATCATGTTTTCTCTTTTATTGCTTATGCATGCTGCTTGAAATAGCCTACTCACAAACAGTTCCATTTCTTCCTCTCTGGTTTTCTACCTAATGACATACCAGCTCTTAAATTTAATGGTAACACCCCTTCTTGGATCTGAATCACTTATGTCTACAACATACATACAGACTGTTCCTGCACTTTAGTAATGAATACGATGCATAATATATGTAATATAATTATACCAATGTTTTAGAGTAAGTGTAAGTTGTGTTTCATTTCTCCAATTTGCATAATATGTTCATTAAAACTTTATTTGCTGTGAGGAGAATAAACAGGGTGTGCCATTATGTAAGCATCATTCTACTGGCATGCAGGTTTATATTCTTTTCTTTATATCTATACACACACACACACACATATGTATATATGTGTGTGTGTGTTATATAAGTGTGCATAAATATTCATATGTGTTCACATATACATAGATAGATAAATGATACATATAGATAGATAGATGGACAGATAGATAGATTTGTCACAGACACCCAGAAAACACCACATTACATACATACACAATGTTGTTAGATCCCCAGAACCTACTCTGTGGAAAGAAAGAACAAAATCTCACTAGTTTTCTTTTGATGTCCTAAGACACACCCCCTTCCCCTAAAACAACACAGAAATATAAACATTATTTTTAAAAAAGAAAGGCAGAAAAATAATATATCCCCAATCTATCTCTGGAAATCTGAAATTTTCTGTGGCAACACTACTCTGCGTGTGTGTGTGTGTGTGTGTGTGTGTGTGTGTGTGTGTGTGTGTGTGTGAATTGAAAGGTTGAAGAGTCTATAATCTGATGTCTACCAGCAATGGCCACAGGAATAGTTGCTCAAGTCCTGGAAGAATGAAGCTTGTATGTACTAGTTTTCTTTCTCCTTTTACTTTTTAGTTCCATGTAGGCTCCCAACCTACTACATAATACTAGCCACAACCAGGGCAAGACATTCTCCTGTTTATCTCCCAATCTTCTCTGAAAATAACTAAAATATTTGTCATACGTGGGCTTTACTAATTCCTTAACCAATTCTCATTCTCAATGCAGTCATGTGAACAATCATAATTTGCTATGCTATCATGGCATAGGACCATTCAATAAAAGGAGGCATTTAAAGCACAAATAGACAGCATAGTTGTCAATCAACACACAGAAGCATAAAGAAAGTAAGAGGGATATAAATACATACATACATATATATATATACATATATATATATATATTCATGAAATGTACTTCAGATATCAAAAAAAGAATGAAATGCCACCATTGTCACAAAAAATATGCAAACTCAGGGTATACATTGAGGAAAATAAGGCAGATACTCATATCACACATTCTCTCACATATATAGAAACGATGATAGAAGGATCTGAATATAGAACAAGTTTTGAGGGAGCTATATCACATGGGCAGAATGAAAGGAGAAAATGGGTAGATGAATGAGATAGAGGGTTGTTCTCATCATTGCAGATATGTGCATGCATGTCTGCTTATGGCAGAGTAAATCTCCTACATTTGAATACATAACACATATGTGCTTAGTTAAAAAAAATAGTAGGCAGGAAATATGCTTCATGGGTCCAATCAAAATGGAAAGTACATGAAAAAATGAGACAGTCCTCTCTTCCCTGTGGGACTAATGTATACTTTTCCAGTGCTTTGGCAATTTCTTTTACTTATTAAAGGAATGTATTCATTTGACATAGTCAAGTAGATTGTAAAACATTTTTAAATTTATTAAACACATTGTTTCAAGAAAACATATTTACATTATTTAATATAAAAAGGTATACCATAAGAAGAAAGCCAAGAGAATAATTCATGAGTTAAACATATACACAGATAAAAAACTTATGCTCACTCACTGACTATAGAGACTGAAAACCATAGTACTCTAGATGATTTATATCACCAAAGAGCAGAGGTGGAATACTGAGATTAAAAAAAAATAATAAGTATAGCTGTACATAAAGAAAATGCTGTCAGTCAGCACTAAGAATGAGCATCTAGCTAAACAAACCAATTAAATGAAAATTAGCTTCCTGGAAATACCTCAAACACCCCCCCAGACAAGTCTGGGAACCTTTGTTGTTGTTACTGTTGTTCCATTTGTGATAATATTTTAGCAGTTTGGTTTCTTTCTACATGACATATATAAGTTGCAGTCAGTAATTTTTACAAGTCCATTGAGTTAATCTAGAATTTACTGCCAAAATCTAACTACTAGTGTGAGAGAATGCATCTACATTTCTGCCAAGGAGCCTGATAATTCAATATTTATTGTACAAATATCGCAGTGGTTTTTGCTCAACAAACTGCTCAGCGCTTACTTGAAGCTTGAGAGACATGGAGTCTGGTGCTTAGCAAACAAAATAATGATAATTGGGATGTATGGTTTTTGGTTATACTTTCTGGTAGTGTGGCGAATGTTCTGTGTGTGTCACACGACACAAGATCACAGCTTTTCTTCGTAGTCCTCAGAGAGCAGAGAACGAAGGCATGTTTCCATAGCCATTACATTCTGATATTGCTGTTTCAAAAGAGATATCAATAATTACAATAAGAATCTCTCCAAACAAGACATCCAGAGCATCACATAGATACTTGTTATTCTGTATTAAATACACAGTACTTACGTTTTCTGTCGCAAGTTTCGTCTTCAAGTTTCCCATTTCTTCTTCCATTGTGTTTTGCTCAATAGCATCAAGACGTTGGTGATTATCCTCCATGTCTTTGATACTCTAAAACAAAACAAAACAAAACAAAGCAACGCAAAACAAGAGTCTAGCTCAGTTGGAAATCCCCACTTTCCGTGTCACATTCAAAACATTCAAAGTCCAAAGTTTTTAAATTTCCACCGTCAGACGATGCTCGTTATGAATGCAAAACTTTGTGACATTTACGCAGGTTTAGTGTTCATTAAAAGATTTAAGTGGTAGACTTGGGTGAAATATAACCACAAGAAGAAAAATGGTGTAGAATTAGTTGCAGAAAAATAGGCTGGTGAATGAGCAGTAGAAATCCAAAGATGTAGACAGAGAAAAAGAATTGCAGTCCTGTAGCATGAGATACCATATATTCCCCCCCCCCCATATCCACACCCAGGTAAAGGCTTAAAGACAGAATTTGTAAAATGATTTCCATCCATTTACATTCCATAGAAACGATAAGACCTTATGACCGTTCAAGTTGAGCAGAACATCATTTAGATTTTAAAGGTATTCCTGTTCAGCCAAAGAACAGTGGCTAGATATGTGCTATGGGGAAAGAACTGTGGCATGTGTGGAACTTTCCAGTTTCTGCAATCTATCATATTCCTATGGCATGGATAAGCATTCAAACAGGAGTTATATTTAAAAAGTTAAGATGGGTTTGGATGAAGCTGCTGGGGGATTTGGCTAACTGGGGGAGACTAATGGGTTCTCTAGACACAGATAAGAATTAAGGGAAAACACAAGCAAAGCAGGGAAACAGAGTGGTGAGTTACTTCAGAGGAAGCCACTATGCTGAGGTATGGAAGCAAAGGCAGGGTGCAGCAAAAGATGCTTGTCTTTGAAGGAGGGTGATGCGTTTGAGGAGGGAAGTGGAGATTCTGAGAATTAAGAAAGGGAGACTACTGACAGACTTGGAAGATGGAAGAACTCTGTTTTAGGATGATATTTTTTGCACATTTTGAATGCAACATGAGAGGTGGGGACTTCCAACTGAAGGAGGGATAGAAAGAGAGAAGTCAGAGGGCCTCACCCTCCACGAGGAGCACAAAAGGGATGGGATGGAGGTAGGGAGGGGACAGAGAAGCAGGGGAGGGTGAAAGAACTGGGATGGACATGTAAAACAAGCTTGCTGCATTTTAGATAAAACATATTTTCATTAAAAAAAAGACTTCCTAATCTTAGCATCAAATGATAGACCCTGCAGTAGTTCAGCAGCTGACTTTGGAGAACTCACACAAGGCTTCCTAATACTTGCAAGAAATGGTAAGGCCCTGCAATGGATTCAGCAGTTCAGTGAAGAAGATCATGAACCTCTGTACAGAACACATGGCCTATTGTTAACACGGAGAGAGGAACAGGGTCACTGTACAGGGTTCTGTAATAAGTTTCCAAATCTAGTGGTCACCTTTAAAATTAACATTTAGAAGAAATCCCTCCACCCCTCCTATTTAGATCTCCACGAAATGGTTCTCGGGGCTCAGTAGAGAAGCGTGTTCTCCAAATTGAAACTCACTCTAGACTCCTAGTTTTGATATAGGGGAACTCTCAAGCTCTTGAAAGAATTAGGCAACTGAGACTTTACTGAAACAGCACCAATAAGTTTAGAAGGAAAGACTTAGGATATGTTTTAGTAAAAAGAAATAGAGGGAGAGTGGATCAGGGAGAAATGGGTGTTAATAAGAGCTGGGAGTATTGGACGGAAGGGAAACTGTCTTTTGGTTGTATCCTATGAGAGAAGAATCTATTTTCAATGAAAATAAAATTAACAAAATAATTAAAAAAGAAATACTAAAGGGAATTTTTAAAATAACATATCTTTATATAATACACACATCACACTCACACTCACACAACCTGCAAAAAAATTTAAAGAAGAGCATTGCAAAGAATCACCCCAAAGTACTTCTTAAACCCCTGAATACTGCGGTTTGACATCAGAGCCACTAAGAAAATTAGCCCAAATGTGCAATTCTCTTTTTACTCAAGTTTATTTCAGACATTCTTATTTTTCATTCTATTACATATTTCAGCCATCTCTAATAGCTACTAAATGGACTGTAAAGCCACCATTGCTCAAGAATAATTCTAATAATAAAGGAACTATAATAAACTCACATACTTCGGTACACAATAAAAAAGAGTTATTAATAAGACCAGGGTGGTGGCACACACCTTTAATCCTGGTACTCAGGAGGCAGAGGCAGGCAGGTCTCTATGCAGTCAATGCCAGCCAGGTCTACATAGCTCGACCTTGTCCCAAACAAACAAGAAAGCAAACAAAAAAGAGAAACTGATGTGTTGTTTACCCTTGCCTATATCCCACTTAAGAAGACTGTCCATACTAAACAAGAAAAAGAAAACCACAGATTATTCATAAATTTACTAATCCCAACCCTGCATGTATCAACTAGAACATAAAGTAAAATAAACATCAATGTTCTCCACAGAGTGTTTAATTCCAGGTTAAGTGCAAACTTTACATTTCCTGATTTCAATGACTCATAAAACTTGATAAGTTTTCAAATTAAATATGCCCTTTGCAGTCATGGTTAATCTTGGAAATGCTCAAAATAGAAAATGACCAATACTTTAAAAGAATAATCTAATAGCTCTTCCCCTGGATTCAGAAAGAACCACTCTGTCTCCTACTTTAGCATATATACTGCACCGTAAGTATGTGATTTCTTAACAACTACGATACACAGACCTGTAGAAACTGATCAGATATCTTTTTGGCTTCATCAATGGCTGATTTCTGTGCCATTGCACTCTTGTGTAAAATCTCTGCATACTGTTGAGACACATTCTGAAATGTAAAACACAGAGGTGACAAAATGCAAGAAAATTGAATATTCACAATCCCAGTTACATCGTGTTTAAAGAAAAACACTTTAAATTAATCACATTTTAAATATTACGTTCAATTTTAAATGTTTTTAATGATTTAAAACAAGTATTTTCCACCAGTCTTTGACTAAGGTTGTCTTTTTGTCATCAACATTTGGATGCAAGTATTCTTGAGGTTGAAGTCAACAGAGGATACTTCCACTCTGTGAATTCCTATCTCCCAGAAATTACATACAATATATTCCTTATTGTCTAGTAGCCAACGAGTATTAATTGTTGCACTTTTCAATATGTACACAGGTGGAATTTCCAAATGCAGCACTTTCTGTGCTTAACCTTGTCCTAACCCCTGCTGGCCCTCAAAGTCCTCCCCTAGATTTCTCCATCCACATATGTTAAATGAGAAACAGGTGAAAGGCACATGAAACCATTTGTCAGGTACTGCTGTAAAATATTTCCGTAAACATAGGAAGGCAGAACTTGGTTAACAGTCAACCAACTCAGTGAGGTAGAAGCTTTGCTATCCCCTTCAGTCTTGAAGAGAATGAGTCACAGTAATAACTGGTTAAAACTAGGGGTGGATTCCAAACAGAGTTCCAGAGCCCAGGATCCTGTCTACTAACACGGACAGTTTATCCATTTTTTCGGCACCTAGGCTCTTTCCTAGCTTTTAGGATCTTTCTCTTTAGTACGACAACTCAGTCCCCTGTCAAAATATATGAGGCCCTAAAAAGAACATTTTCTGTTGTCCACCATCCAATTTCCCTGTCCTCGTGTTCTCAGTTTCAGAGTAAATATCATTATCAGTTATCAAACCTGCTCTTGCATGTAAGCCCCATTCCCTTGCCCTCCTGGCCTGGGACTTTCTGAATACTAACTACTCAAGGCCCACCTCTCACCCTGATCTGCCAGAGCATTCACATGGTCTAATCTCACTTATAATTGTATAACACTGTGTCACAAAGTTATTCTGGGTATGCTTACTGCTTGTCAAATGTATCTCACTAGGGTCCTAAATGGTGTCCTCTCAGGGGAGAGCAGGGGGCACCTTTAGTGAGGGAGGGAGAGAGACAGAGACACAGAGAGAGAGGGAGAGACGAAGGGAGGTAGGTTGGAAAGGAGGAAGGAGGTATGGAAGGAGGGATGGAGGGAGGGAGGAAGGGGAGAGAAAGAGATAGACAGAGAGGAGAGAGAGGAGAGAGATCATGTGCCTTCTCTGCAAAGCCTCCAATGAGGATATTCTCTGTTTGCTAGCTAGCCTCACTCCAAACCATGGACATTGACATGTCACCAGGAAAAACAAGCAAGCCAGAAAGGATGGTCATCCTCCCAACCTCGCATACATCGGCCATCTTGTTCATCCAAGATCCAAATAGCTGAATGAATTCCTACTACTTTAGACATTGTTGCAACGGATCAATTCCAGTGCTAACCCCGACACCTACAACAAAACTGTCTTCTTCTTGTTCAACTTTCAGCACATCGTTTTCCCACTTTTCAAACAAAGGCACAAACATCTCAGAATATTTGGAATGAAGCATCCGTCTGTAAAACACAGTAATAAGCATGGTTTTATAACCATGAAGTTAAGACAAATTACACATTCTCAGAAAAAAAAATTGGCTTATTTCATAATAGGAAAAGCGATGAGGAAATTAACTGGAATAATCGAATGTTGGAGAGAAAAGTGAGGTTAGGTAGCATCGTTACTAAAGTGTGTACTCCTGAGTTACTATTAGAGAGGCTATGCCACATGCCTTCCCTCTAGAGCAAGGAGGATTCATTGCCATATAAATTTTCCGTCATTATTTATTTTGCTTGTAAAAGACTACATTTCTCTTACTAAATAACAGATTCTGATATAGCAAGTTGATGTATTGCAAATAACATATGCTTTCACCCTCAGGGACTCACATAAGGGAATAGTTAAGTGAACTATCTTTTCCCATTGTCACAGTGGTTTTCACAGAGAATGGTGATTGCAATTTGTGAATTATTCAAATTACTTATAAGATTATCAATACAATGTAAGACTCATATTTACAATATAAGACTGTCTACATAGTCAAGTATCATTTACTGTCCTACACATAATTAACACTGTGGTGCTGACCCTTCTTTCATTCAGCCAGCAAATTACAAAACGTAAGTGCCGGTGAATTTTACAGTAATACAGTTACGGTGTTATCTAAAAGCCAAGAACCTGGCTATATTCACTGTCTTCTAACTTATATATCTCAATTCTGTAAAACTGAAGTTCTAAAATTAATAAACCTTTCTGTTCGGAGGAAAATCAAGTTGATTGCAGTTTTTGGTGGAGGTTCAAATCAGTACAAAATAATAAAATGCAGTCTGAATAAAATAAATTCAAATAAATATTTGCACTAACGAAGAGTAAGAAACTGTACACATTTTGTATTTCAAAGAAGACAACATTACCTTTCCTTTTGTTGTGTTTTAAAAATACACAGAAATTTTCTGTTAAGAATTCCCATAGAAGTTTTTATATCTTTGCGAAACTGCCTTCTCTTTGCAAGGTAGGACTTTGTAAGGTCACCTATAAGTGAAATAAAATTTTATTGGAAGGTAAAATTGGAAGTTATTTTGTTCCCTGTCAAATTGATTTTGGATATGTTGTTTGAAGAATATTGCATCATTTCAAAAAAACATGGCTGCCTGAATGTTTTTTATAAATATTTCCATCTTCTAAGAGCAGAATTCTTGATTAACTCTGTAGTGTATGGGTGGGTTTGTGTGTGTGTGTGTGTGTGTGTGTGTGTGTGTGTGTTAGACCATTTAATTAAGAGATTAGAAAGGTACAATTCAAAAATGGTGTCCAGTTTTTAACATATATATATATGTGTGTGTGTGTGTGTGTGTTTATGTGTATGTGTGTCTGTATATATATATATACACATATATATAGTGTGTGTGTATGTAAAAAATATATATATATATGTGTGTGTGTGTGTTTTTGTATGTGTGTCTGTATATATATATATATATATATACACATATATATAGTGTGTGTATGTAAAATATATATATATGTGTGTGTGTGTGTGTGTGTGTGTGTGTGAGACTGTGTGTGTGTGTGTGCAAAGAAGCATTTAATTTCCTCCTCATAGAAAGGTAATATACAAAACTTTAAACACTCAGTGCATATTCTTCTTTTCAAATGATTCTTTGAGGACAGAATATTGTTTAAACACATTTGGTAAAGCATAAATATACTTTATTTTTAAAATTGCTAAAAACATATGGATAAATATACAATGTGAAAGCTAGTTTTAATCACTGTGCTACATGATACCCAGACACCATATTTAATATAATAGACAAAATCTTAAGTGCCAAATTCAGATTAAACACAAATTTAAATTATTTTTCTTAGACTTCTTAACACAAGCTTACCTGTAAATACAGGAATTCTATAATATTTCACTAATAACAGTGCTGTATTCATTGTGTGATTTTATATCAAGATCCTATGGACAACAGCTATTTTTAGTACTTATTAATCATCCCTGACATGATACAAATATTTTATGTATCTAGTAAAAATATCAGGGAGTCTTCATAATCCAAGTTCTTTGTCAGCACCAAAAAGACAAAGGCTTTCCAACATATTTGTTTGTTTCAATTGTCTTTAGAGATGGGTCAAAAAAAATTAGTGAGAACTCATAATTCTGCAGCAGTTAGTCTCTTTGTAAAGATGATCGTCCATTCATGTGGAGCTAATAGTTTGCATGAGGTTAAGGATCCAAACTAACAAGTCTCACTGGTGTGGGGAGGCGAGTGGGGAGGGAGCAAAGTACTTTCTCAAGTTTTCCACCTAAGTAGCTCATTCATAGCAATGGTTGCATAAAAAGGCTCTGTCATCAGCACTGTTATCCTAAGAAAACAACTTCAAAAATCCAGAAAAAGTAAATTAATTCAGAACCCAAAAAAGGACGTGTTGAAAATAATGAATATAATAGCCAGGAGTTTAAAAATAAAAATTGTCTCATCAACCCCAATCAGTAACACACACCCTACTCAATCTCTACTGTGCAACACACGCATACCTCTTTGGGTTGTTAAAAAATATTTCCATTTTCTCTCGAATCCCAGCACTCCGGAGGCAGAGGCAGGCAGAACTCTGTGAGTTTGAGGCCAGCATGGTCTACAGTGCCAGAGCCAGAATAGGCTCCAAAGCTACACAGAGAAACGCTGTCTTGAAAGCACCAAACACACACACACACACACACACACACACACACACACACACAAACTTCCATTTTCCGAGTTTAAAAAGCATAGAAATGTATAAAAACCAAATGACACCCCATACATAAAGCAAGCCTATAAACGTGAAGAAGTCATTAAATGGGGTCTTGTAGGCCAGTGGCTCTCTTGTGAAGGTACAAGACTGAAAAACCGAACTTGTGAATGGTGAGCATCTCCTAAAACATACCTTGAAGTTCCTGTAACATCTTCTGAACAGACTCCCTATGAAAAACATACAGAATTCTTAAATGAGCATATGAAAATTCAGTTCATTCGGAAATAGATATTATTTGGTGCTTAACAGACAATGACTTAATTTTATGAAAGCATCTTCCAATGACAGCTAAATAAAATCGATACGTATCACCTTGCTTGCTGTTCATCTCCATCGGATGAAGCACTGTCCTCATCACTGATATCAAACCTGGGGTTTTCTACTACATTAAAGAAATAGAAAATACAAAAATCAGTGGAGTATGGAATTTCTAGGCATCCTAGACAACGAAAGTACTTTTAAATCCCACGTGTGTGTACAGGTCAGATGAAAACAGGCACGTGCCTGGGATTATTTTATTTAGGCATTTGTACAAGCCTTCCATGGTTAAAGTAATTTTAAATCATGTCCTGGGCAGAAGACAAGTTGGAAGTGAGGATGGCTTAGGCTAGGAGTCCTGGGGTAAGAACATCAGGGGGAACCTAAAGTCAACAAACAAGCCCGAGATACATAGAAATACAAGTTTTAAGCACTTGAAACGTCCTGCAATCTGAAGCAATGATCCGGGGCCTTTGCTAACTTTATGTACCATCTGCCAAGAGATAGGTCAGAGTGTCCCCTAGGGTAGACACAGCCTTCCACAAAACCCTCTGATTGTACCTGGCTTTGTGGGAACACTGTAGTTCGAGTCATCATCACATTGAGAATCCGGAGAATCCCGTGGGCGTTTCGCAGTTTTGCTTGTAGCCTTCTTCCCCTTGGGTGGCATGTCTACTGTGCCCCGGTGTTAGCCCCAACTCCTAAACCTCGTGACTGCAATGACATCCAAAAGGCGCAGGAATTAAATGAGAGCCATAGGTGAAGGTACTGGTGTCCATGGGGAGGGAGACAGGGCATAGTCTCTCTGTACTGGAGCAGGGGAGGAAGTTGGGGGTTGTGGGGGTGGGTCATGGAGGATTACCATGGCATGGTGGTCTGTCCTGTGTGGTCTCCACTCATGAGTGCAGAGCTGGCTCTGTCCTGCACACCTCCACCTATATACCTTCTGCTGGACTCCTGCCTTTGGCGGCAGGGGGGTGTGTGTGTGTGTGTGTGTGTGTGTGTGTGTGTGTGTGTGTGTGTGTGTGTGTGCGCTGCGGGGGGGGGTTGACTGTGCCTTGGGCTCCAGTATCCTAGCATCCTAGCACTAACTGGCCTATGAACCGGGGGGGGGGCTTAAGTAATTTAGTAGTGACTCAGGCAGTGTGGCTATATGACCGGGAGTGAACCTGGGCCGCACACTGAGGAGATGCCCTGCTGGCCCCTCACTTTGAGGAGACAGGAGGCGCTCAGGGAGGGGCCCTCGTGTTAAGGAACCACAGTAGGCAGAGACACTCTCTTGGGACCCAAGGGAAGCCGATTCCCTTGCATTGGCTGCCCAGGGGCTCCTCTCATCCGAGGCCTAGGCGGCTCACCCGGATGTCTCCTCAAACACCTGCCAGAGGCCTTTTCTCTGGCACCCACACCCTCCTTCTCTGCCAACGGTCGCCTCTCAGACACGCGGAGCTCCTCGGTGCCGGTGTCCCCACCACTGGAGCTCACAGAGCCCCAGGCCACCAAGGTCACCCACCTAGAGACCGCGTCCTACCACAGGCCTTTTGGGTCTGCCTTCTCCTGGGGCTGCCTGTGGCACCTCGGCAGGGTTCTGTTCCTGGCCTGGAGTCACACAGCTTGGCTGGCACGATGCGCATGCGTGAGCTGGAGAACAGGCCACGCCCCCAGCAGCCATGCTTTGGGGCAGATGCATGGCTTCAGACTCAGACCCTGCTTTCACTGCCACTTTCTCTGCCATAAACCTTTTACAGCTACTAAAATTGGCAGGGATCAAAGGACAGAAAGACTTGGTGTCCCTCAATGCCCATTGGAGGGGAAAGTGGCAGTGAAAGCAGGGTCTGAGTCCGAAGCCATGCATCTGCCCCAAAGCATGGCTGCTGGGGGCGTGGCCTGTTCTCCAGCTCACGCATGCGCATTGTGCCAGCCAAGCTGTGTGACTCCAGGCCAGGAACAGAACCCTGCCGAGGTGCCACAGGCAGCCCCAGGAGAAGGCAGACCCAAAAGGCCTGTGGTAGGACGCGGTCTCTAGGTGGGTGACCTTGGTGGCCTGGGGCTCTGTGAGCTCCAGTGGTGGGGACACTGGCACCGAGGAGCTCCGCGTGTCTGAGAGGCGACCGTTGGCAGAGAAGGAGGGTGTGGGTGCCAGAGAAAAGGCCTCTGGCAGGTGTTTGAGGAGACATCCGGGTGAGCCGCCTAGGCCCCGGATGAGAGGAGCCCCTGGGCAGCCAATGCAAGGGAATCAGCTTCCCTTGGGTCCCAAGAGAGTGTCTCTGCCTACTGTGGTTCCTTAACACGAGGGCCCCTCCCTGAGCGCCTCCTGTCTCCTCAAAGTGAGGGGCCAGCAGGGCATCTCCTCAGTGTGCGGCCCAGGTTCACTCCCGGTCATATAGCCACACTGCCTGAGTCACTACTAAATTACTTAAGCCCCCCCGCCCGGTTCATAGGCCAGTTAGTGCTAGGATGCTAGGATACTGGAGCCCAAGGCACAGTCAACCACCCCCCCCCGCAGCGCGCACACACACACACACACACACACACACACACACACACACACACACACACACGCCCCTGCCGCCAAAGGCAGGAGTCCAGCAGAAGGTATATAGGTGGAGGTGTGCAGGACAGAGCCAGCTCTGCACTCATGAGTGGAGACCACACAGGACAGACCACCATGCCATGGTAATCCTCCATGACCCACCGCCACAACCCCCAACTTCCTCCCCTGCTTCAGTACAGAGAGACTATGCCCTGTCTCCCTCCCCATGGACACCAGTACCTTCACCTATGGCTCTCATTTAATTCCTGCGCCTTTTGGATGTCATTGCAGTCACGAGGTTTAGGAGTTGGGGCTAACACCGGGGCACAGTAGACATGCCACCCAAGGGGAAGAAGGCTACAAGCAAAACTGCGAAACGCCCACGGGATTCTCCGGATTCTCAATGTGATGATGACTCGAACTACAGTGTTCCCACAAAGCAAGGTACAATCAGAGGGTTTTGTGGAAGGCTGTGTCTACCCTAGGGGACACTCTGACCTATCTCTTGGCAGATGGTACATAAAGTTAGCAAAGGCCCCGGATCATTGCTTCAGATTGCAGGACGTTTCAAGTGCTTAAAACTTGTATTTCTATGTATCTCGGGCTTGTTTGTTGACTTTAGGTTCCCCCTTGATGTTCTTACCCCAGGACTCCTAGCCTAAGCCATCCTCACTTCCAACTTGTCTTCTGCCCAGGACATGATTTAAAATTACTTTAACCATGGAAGGCTTGTACAAATGCCTAAATAAAATAATCCCAGGCACGTGCCTGTTTTCATCTGACCTGTACACACACGTGGGATTTAAAAGTACTTTCGTTGTCTAGGATGCCTAGAAATTCCATACTCCACTGATTTTTGTATTTTCTATTTCTTTAATGTAGTAGAAAACCCCAGGTTTGATATCAGTGATGAGGACAGTGCTTCATCAGATGGAGATGAACAGCAAGCAAGGTGATACGTATCGATTTTATTTAGCTGTCATTGGAAGATGCTTTCATAAAATTAAGTCATTGTCTGTTAAGCACCAAATAATATCTATTTCCGAATGAACTGAATTTTCATATGCTCATTTAAGAATTCTGTATGTTTTTCATAGGGAGTCTGTTCAGAAGATGTTACAGGAACTTCAAGGTATGTTTTAGGAGATGCTCACCATTCACAAGTTCGGTTTTTCAGTCTTGTACCTTCACAAGAGAGCCACTGGCCTACAAGACCCCATTTAATGACTTCTTCACGTTTATAGGCTTGCTTTATGTATGGCGTGTCATTTGGTTTTTATACATTTCTATGCTTTTTAAACTCGGGAAAATGGAAGTTTGTGTGTGTGTGTGTGTGTGTGTGTGTGTGTGTGTGTGTGTGTGTGTCTGTGTGTGTGTGTGTGTGTGTGTGTGTGTGTGTGTGTTTGGTGCTTTCAAGACAGCTTTCTCTGTGTAGCTTTGGAGCCTATTCTGGCTCTGGCACTGTAGACCATGCTGGCCTCAAACTCACAGAGTTCTGCCTGCCTCTGCCTCCGGAGTGCTGGGATTCCAGAGAAAATGGAAATATTTTTTAACAACCCAAAGAGGTATGCGTGTGTTGCACAGTAGAGATTGAGTAGGGTGTGTGTTACTGATTAGGGTTGATGAGACAATTTTTAATTTTAAACTCCTGGCTATTATATTCATTATTTTCAACACATCCTTTTTTGGGTTCTGAATTAATTTACTTTTTCTGGATTTTTGAAGTTGTTTTCTTAGGATAACAGTGCTGATGACAGAGCCTTTTTATGCAACCATTGCTATGAATGAGCTACTTAGGTGGAAAACTTGAGAAAGTACTTTGCTCCCTCCCCACTCGCCTCCCCACACCAGTGAGACTTGTTAGTTTGGATCCTTAACCTCATGCAAACTATTAGCTCCACATGAATGGACGATCATCTTTACAAAGAGACTAACTGCTGCAGTATTATGAGTTCTCACTAATTTTTTTTGACCCATCTCTAAAGACAATTGAAACAAACAAATATGTTGGAAAGCCTTTGTCTTTTTGGTGCTGACAAAGAACTTGGATTATGAAGAGTCCCTGATATTTTTACCAGATACATAAAATATTTGTATCATGTCAGGGATGATTAATAAGTACTAAAAATAGCTGTTGTCCATAGGATCTTGATACAAAATCACACAATGAATACAGCACTGTTATTAGTGAAATATTATAGAATTCCTGTATTTACAGGTAAGCTTGTGTTAAGAAGTCTAAGAAAAATAATTTAAATTTGTGTTTAATCTGAATTTGGCACTTAAGATTTTGTCTATTATATTAAATATGGTGTCTGGGTATCATGTAGCACAGTGATTAAAACTAGCTTTCACATTGTATATTTATCCATATGTTTTTAGCAATTTTAAAAATAAAGTATATTTATGCTTTACCAAATGTGTTTAAACAATATTCTGTCCTCAAAGAATCATTTGAAAAGAAGAATATGCACTGAGTGTTTAAAGTTTTGTATATTACCTTTCTATGAGGAGGAAATTAAATGCTTCTTTGCACACACACACACACAGGCTCTCTCTCTCACACACACACATATATATATATATTTTACATACACACACACTATATATGTATATATATATATATATACAGACACACATACACATAAACACACACACACATATATATATATATATTTTACATACACACACTATATATATATATGTGTATATATATATATACAGACACACATACACATAAACACACACACACACACACACACACACACACACACATATATATATGTTAAAAACTGGACACCATTTTTGAATTGCACCTTTCTAATCTCTTAATTAAATGGTCTAACACACACACACACACACACACACACACACACACACACAAACCCACCCATACACTACAGAGTTAATCAAGAATTCTGCTCTTAGAAGATGGAAATATTTATAAAAAACATTCAGGCAGCCATGTTTTTTTGAAATGATGCAATATTCTTCAAACAACATATCCCAAATCAATTTGACTGGGAACAAAATAACTTCCAATTTTACCTTCCAATAAAATTTTATTTCACTTATAGGTGACCTTACAAAGTCCTACCTTGCAAAGAGAAGGCAGTTTCGCAAAGATATAAAAACTTCTATGGGAATTCTTAACAGAAAATTTCTGTGTATTTTTAAAACACAACAAAAGGAAAGGTAATGTTGTCTTCTTTGAAATACGAAATGTGTACAGTTTCTTACTCTTCGTTAGTGCAAATATTTATTTGAATTTATTTTATTCAGACTGCATTTTATTATTTTGCACTGATTTGAACCTCCACCAAAAACTGCAATCAACTTGATTTTCCTCCGAACAGAAAGTTTATTAATTTTAGAACTTCAGTTTTACAGAATTGAGATATATAAGTTAGAAGACAGTGAATATAGCCAGGTTCTTGGCTTTTAGATAACACCGTAACTGTATTACAGTAAAATTCACCGGCACTTACGTTTTGTAATTTGCTGGCTGAATGAAAGAAGGGTCAGCACCACAGTGTTAATTATGTGTAGGACGGTAAATGATACTTGACTATGTAGACAGTCTTATATTGTAAATATGAGTCTTACATTGTAGTGATAATCTTATAAGTAATTTGAATAATTCACAAATTGCAATCACCATTCTCTGTGAAAACCACTGTGACAATGGGAAAAGATAGTTCACTTAACTATTCCCTTATGTGAGTCCCTGAGGGTGAAAGCATATGTTATTTGCAATACATCAACTTGCTATATCAGAATCTGTTATTTAGTAAGAGAGAAATGTAGTCTTTTACAAGCAAAATAAATAATGACGGAAAATTTATATGGCAATGAATCCTCCTTGCTCTAGAGGGAAGGCATGTGGCATAGCCTCTCTAATAGTAACTCAGGAGTACACACTTTAGTAACGAGGCTACCTAACCTCACTTTTCTCTCCAACATTCGATTATTCCAGTTAATTTCCTCATCGCTTTTCCTATTATGAAATAAGCCATTTTTTTTTTCTGAGAATGTGTAATTTGTCTTAACTTCATGGTTATAAAACCATGCTTATTACTGTGTTTTACAGACGGATGCTTCATTCCAAATATTCTGAGATGTTTGTGCCTTTGTTTGAAAAGTGGGAAAACGATGTGCTGAAAGTTGAACAAGAAGAAGACAGTTTTGTTGTAGGTGTCGGGGTTAGCACTGGAATTGATCCGTTGCAACAATGTCTAAAGTAGTAGGAATTCATTCAGCTATTTGGATCTTGGATGAACAAGATGGCCGATGTATGCGAGGTTGGGAGGATGACCATCCTTTCTGGCTTGCTTGTTTTTCCTGGTGACATGTCAATGTCCATGGTTTGGAGTGAGGCTAGCTAGCAAACAGAGAATATCCTCATTGGAGGCTTTGCAGAGAAGGCACATGATCTCTCTCCTCTCTCTCCTCTCTGTCTATCTCTTTCTCTCCCCCTTCCTCCCTCCCTCCATCCCTCCTTCCATACCTCCTTCCTCCTTTCCAACCTACCTCCCTTCCTCTCTCCCTCTCTCTCTGTGTCTCTGTCTCTCTCCCTCCCTCACTAAAGGTGCCCCCTGCTCTCCCCTGAGAGGACACCATTTAGGAGCCTAGTGAGATACATTTGACAAGCAGTAAGCGTACCCAGAATAACTTTGTGACACAGTGTTATACAATTATAAGTGAGATTAGACCATGTGAATGCTCTGGCAGATCAGGGTGAGAGGTGGGCCTTGAGTAGTTAGTATTCAGAAAGTCCCAGGCCAGGAGGGCAAGGGAATGGGGCTTACATGCAAGAGCAGGTTTGACAACTGATAATGATATTTACTCTGAAACTGAGAACACGAGGACAGGGAAATTGGATGGTGGACAACAGAAAATGTTCTTTTTAGGGCCTCATATATTTTGACAGGGGACTGAGTTGTCGTACTAAAGAGAAAGATCCTAAAAGCTAGGAAAGAGCCTAGGTGCCGAAAAAATGGATAAACTGTCCGTGGGCTCTGGAACTCTGTTTGGAATCCACCCCTAGTTTTAACCAGTTATTACTGTGACTCATTCTCTTCAAGACTGAAAGGGGGATAGCAAAGCTTCTACCTCACTGAGTTGGTTGACTGTTAACCAAGTTCTGCCTTCCTATGTTTACGGAAATATTTTACAGCAGTACCTGACAAATGGTTTCATGTGCCTTTCACCTGTTTCTCATTTAACATATGTGGATGGAGAAATCTAGGGGAGGACTTTGAGGGCCAGCAGGGGTTAGGACAAGGTTAAGCACAGAAAGTGCTGCATTTGGAAATTCCACCTGTGTACATATTGAAAAGTGCAACAATTAATACTCGTTGGCTACTAGACAATAAGGAATATATTGTATGTAATTTCTGGGAGATAGGAATTCACAGAGTGGAAGTATCCTCTGTTGACTTCAACCTCAAGAATACTTGCATCCAAATGTTGATGACAAAAAAGACAACCTTAGTCAAAGACTGGTGGAAAATACTTGTTTTAAATCATTAAAAACATTTAAAATTGAACGTAATATTTAAAATGTGATTAATTTAAAGTGTTTTTCTTTAAACACGATGTAACTGGGATTGTGAATATTCAATTTTCTTGCATTTTGTCACCTCTGTGTTTTACATTTCAGAATGTGTCTCAACAGTATGCAGAGATTTTACACAAGAGTGCAATGGCACAGAAATCAGCCATTGATGAAGCCAAAAAGATATCTGATCAGTTTCTACAGGTCTGTGTATCGTAGTTGTTAAGAAATCACATACTTACGGTGCAGTATATATGCTAAAGTAGGAGCCAGAGTGGTTCTTTCTGAATCCAGGGGAAGAGCTATTAGATTATTCTTTTAAAGTATTGGTCATTTTCTATTTTGAGCATTTCCAAGATTAACCATGACTGCAAAGGGCATATTTAATTTGAAAACTTATCAAGTTTTATGAGTCATTGAAATCAGGAAATGTAAAGTTTGCACTTAACCTGGAATTAAACACTCTGTGGAGAACATTGATGTTTATTTTACTTTATGTTCTAGTTGATACATGCAGGGTTGGGATTAGTAAATTTATGAATAATCTGTGGTTTTCTTTTTCTTGTTTAGTATGGACAGTCTTCTTAAGTGGGATATAGGCAAGGGTAAACAACACATCAGTTTCTATTTTTTTGTTTGCTTTCTTGTTTGTTTGGGACAAGGTCGAGCTATGTAGACCTGGCTGGCATTGACTGCATAGAGACCTGCCTGCCTCTGCCTCCTGAGTACCAGGATTAAAGGTGTGTGCCACCACCCTGGTCTTATTAATAACTCTTTTTTTATTGTGTACCGAAGTATGTGAGTTTGTTATAGTTCCTTTATTATTAGAATTATTCTTGAGCAATGGTGGCTTTACAGTCCATTTAGTAGCTATTAGAGATGGCTGAAATATGTAATAGAATGAAAAATAAGAATGTCTGAAATAAACTTGAGTAAAAAGAGAATTGCACATTTGAGCTAATTTTCTTAGTGGCTCAGATGTCAAACCGCAGTATTCAGGGGTTTAAGAAGTACTTTGGGGTGATTCTTTGCAATGCTCTTCTTTAAATTTTTTTGCAGGTTGTGTGAGTGTGATGTGTGTATTATATAAAGATATGTTATTTTAAAATTCCCTTTAGTATTTCTTTTTTAATTATTTTGTTAATTTTATTTTCATTGAAAATAGATTCTTCTCTCATAGGATACAACCAAAAGACAGTTTCCCTTCCGTCCAATACTCACAGCTCTTATTAACACCCATTTCTCCCTGATCCACTCCCCCTCTATTTCTTTTTACTAAAACATATCCTAAGTCTTTCCTTCTAAACTTATTGGTGCTGTTTCAGTAAAGTCTCAGTTGCCTAATTCTTTCAAGAGCTTGAGAGTTCCCCTATATCAAAACTAGGAGTCTAGAGAGAGTTTCAATTTGGAGAACACGCTTCTCTACTGAGCCCCGAGAACCATTTCGTGGAGATCTAAATAGGAGGGGGTGGAGGGATTTCTTCTAAATGTTAATTTTAAAGGTGACCACTAGATTTGGAAACTTATTACAGAACCCTGTACAGTGACCCTGTTCCTCTCTCCGTGTTAACAATAGGCCATGTGTTCTGTACAGAGGTTCATGATCTTCTTCACTGAACTGCTGAATCCATTGCAGGGCCTTACCATTTCTTGCAAGTATTAGGAAGCCTTGTGTGAGTTCTCCAAAGTCAGCTGCTGAACTACTGCAGGGTCTATCATTTGATGCTAAGATTAGGAAGTCTTTTTTTTATGAAAATATGTTTTATCTAAAATGCAGCAAGCTTGTTTTACATGTCCATCCCAGTTCTTTCACCCTCCCCTGCTTCTCTGTCCCCTCCCTACCTCCATCCCATCCCTTTTGTGCTCCTCGTGGAGGGTGAGGCCCTCTGACTTCTCTCTTTCTATCCCTCCTTCAGTTGGAAGTCCCCACCTCTCATGTTGCATTCAAAATGTGCAAAAAATATCATCCTAAAACAGAGTTCTTCCATCTTCCAAGTCTGTCAGTATCAGAATCTCCACTTCCCTCCTCAAACGCATCACCCTCCTTCAAAGACAAGCATCTTTTGCCGCACCCTGCCTTTGCTTCCATACCTCAGCATAGTGGCTTCCTCTGAAGTAACTCACCACTCTGTTTCCCTGCTTTGCTTGTGTTTTCCCTTAATTCTTATCTGTGTCTAGAGAACCCATTAGTCTCCCCCCTTTAGCCAAATCCCCCAGCAGCTTCTTCCAAACCCATCTTAACTTTTTAAATATAACTCCTATTTGAATGCTTATCCATGCCATAGGAATATGATAGATTGCAGAAACTGGAAAGTTCCACACATGCCACAGTTCTTTCCCCATAGCACATATCTAGCCACTGTTCTTTGGCTGAACAGGAATACCTTTAAAATCTAAATGATGTTCTGCTCAACTTGAACGGTCATAAGGTAATGTGTCTTATCGTTTCTATGGAATGTAAATGGATGGAAATCATTTTACAAATTCTGTCATTAAGCCTTTACCTGGGTGTGGATATGGGGGGGAATATATGGTATCTCATGCTACAGGACTGCAATTCTTTTTCTCTGTCTACATCTTTGGATTTCTACTGCTCATTCACCAGCCTATTTTTCTGCAACTAATTCTACACCATTTTTCTTCTTGTGATTGTATTTCACCCAAGTCTACCACTTAAATTTTTTAATGAACACTAAACCTGCGTAAATGTCCCAAAGTTTTGCATTCATAACGAGCATTGTTTGAAGGTGGAAATTTAAAAACTTTGGACTTTGAATGTTTTGAATGTGACACGGAAAGTGGGGATTTCCAACTGAGCTAGACTCTTGTTTTGCTTTGCTTTGTTTTGTTTTGTTTTGTTTTAGAGTATCAAAGACATGGAGGATAATCACCAACATCTTGATGCTATGGAGCAAAACACAATGGAAGAAGAAATGGGAAACTTGAAGACGAAACTTGCGACAGAAAACGTAAGTACTGTGTATTTAATACAGAATGACAAGTATCTATGTGATGCTCTGTATGTCTTGTTTGGAGAGATGCTTATTGTAATTATTGATATCTCTGTTTTGAAACAGCAATATCAGAATGTAATGGCTATGGAAACATGCCTTTGTTCTCTGCTCTCTGAGGACTATGAAGAAAAGCTGTGATCCTGTGTCGTGTGACACACGCAGAACATTTGCCACACTACCAGAAAGTATAACCAAAAACTATACATCCCAATTATTATTTTGTTTGCTAAGCACCAGACTCCATGTCTTTCAAGCTTCAAGTGAGCGCTGAGCAGTTTGTTGAGCAACAACCACTGCGATATTTGTACAATAAATATTGAATTGTCAGGCTCCTTGGCAGAAATGTAGATGCATTCTCTCACACTAGTAGTTAGATTTTGGCAGTAAATTCTAGATTAACTCAATGGACTTGTAAACTTATATATGGACTGCAACTTATATATGTCATGTAGAAAGAAACCAAACTGCTAAAATATTATCACAAATGGAACAACAGTAACAACAACAAAGGTTCCCAGACTTGTCTGGGGGGGTGTTTGAGGTATTTCCAGGAAGCTAATTTTCATTTAATTGGTTTGTTTAGCTAGATGCTCATTCTTAGTGCTGACTGACAGCATTTTCTTTATGTACAGCTATACTTATTATTTTTTTTTAATCTCAGTATTCCACCTCTGCTCTTTGGTGATATAAATCATCTAGAATACTATGGTTTTCAGTCTCTATAGTCAGTGAGTGAGCATAAGTTTTTTATCTGTGTATATGTTTAACTCATGAATTATTCTCTTGGCTTTCTTCTTATGGTATACCTTTTTATATTAAATAATGTAAATATGTTTTCTTGAAACAATGTGTTTAATAAATTTGAAAATGTTTTACAATCTACTTGACTATGTCAAATGAATACATTCCTTTAATGTAAAAAAATTGCCAAATCACTGGAAAAGTATACATTAGTCCCACAGGGAAGAGAGGACTGTCTCATTTTTTCATGTACTTTCCATTTTGACTTGGACCCATGAAGCATATTTCCTGCCTACTATTTTTTTAACTAAGCACATATGTGTTATGTATTCAAATGTAGGAGATTTACTCTGCCATATGCAGACATGCATGCACATATCTGCAATGATGAGAACAACCCTCTATCTCATTCATCTACCCTTTTTCTCCTTTCATTCTGCCCATGTGATATAGCTCCCTCAAAACTTGTTCTATATTCAGATCCTTCTATCATCGTTTCTATATATGTGAGAGAATGTGTGATATGAGTATCTGCCTTATTTTCCTCAATGTATACCCTGAGTTTGCATATTTTTGTGGCAATGGCAGCATTTCATTCTATTTTAATATCTGAAATACATTTCATATATATATATATATATATATATGTGTGTGTGTGTGTATATATATATATGTGTGTGTGTGTGTGTGTGTGTGTGTGTGTGTGTGTGTGTGTATGTATATCCCTCATACTTTCTTTATGCTTCTGTGTGTTGATTGACAACTATGCTGTCTATTTGTGCTTTAAATGCCTCCTGTTATTGAATGGTCCTATGCCATGATAGCATAGCAAATTATGATTGTTCACATGACTGCATTGAGAATGAGAATTGGTTAAGGAATTAGTAAGCCCACGTATGACAAATATTTTAGTTATTTTCAGAGAAGATTGGGAGATAAACAGGAGAATGTCTTGCCCTGAGTGTGGCTAGTATTATGTAGTAGGTTGGGAGCCTACATGGAACTAAAAAGTAAAAGGAGAAAGAAAACTAGTACATACAAGCTTCATTCTTCCAGGACTTGAGCAACTATTCCTGTGGCCCTTGCTTGTAGACATCAGATTCTAGACTCTTGAACCTTTCAATTCACACATACACACACACACACATATGTAAGAAGTATGTTTTTTCTGCCTGCCACCGCCTGTTCTTGTCCTTCCTCCGCGCCAGCCCCAAATAATACACAGAGACTCTGTATTTTATACAATACTGTTGGCCCGGTTACTTGTTTCTTATCGGCTAGCTCTGCCTTTAATTATTAACCCATTTCTGCTGATCTATGTATCTTCACATGGCCTTCTCTTACCGGGGAGGCGGCTGGCATCTGGCATCCAGCTCTCTCTTGACTCTCCATCTTGACTCCTCCCTCCTACTTCCTATTTCCTCCTTGTCTCCTAGTCCCTCCTATCTTCCTTTCCTATTGGACAACAGTGCTTTATTATTAACCAGTATGAGAAACATATACAGAATGACATCTCCCATCACCCATACACACACACACACACACACACACACACACACACACACACACACACAGTATTTTTGCCACAGAAAACTTCAGATTTCCAGAGATAGATTGGGGAAAGTGGTGTGTCTCTGGACATCAGAAGAAAACTTGTGAGATTTAGTTCTTTCTTTCCACAGAGTAGGTTCTGGGGATCTAACAACATTGTGTATGTATGTAGTGTGGTCTTTTCTGGGTGTCTGTGACATATCTATCTATCTGTCTTTCTATCTATCTATCTATCTATCTATCTATCTATCTATGTATCTTTGTATCTATCTATATATATATGAACATATATGAATATTTATGCACACATATATAACACACACATATATATATCTGTGTATAGATATATTGAAGAGAATATAAACCCGCATGCCAGTAGAATGATGCTCATATAATGACAGACCCTGTTTATTCTCCTCACAGCAAATAAAGTTTTAATGAACATATTATGTAAATTGGAGAAATGAAACACAACTTACATTTACTCTAAAACATTGGTATAATTATATTACATATATTATGCATCATATCTATTACTAAAGTGCAGGAACAGTCTGGATGTATGTTGTAGACATAAGTGATTCAGATCCAGGAAGGGGTGTTACCATTAAATTTAAGAGCTGGTACGTCATTAGGTAGAAAACCAGAGATGAAGAAATGGAACTATTTCTGAGTAGGCTATTTCAAGCAGCATGCATATGCAATAAAAGAGAAAACATGGCCTTATCTGGGCAACCCTGAAAAATGTGTTGAATAGGTAATATTCATCAGTATTATTTTGGTCTAAAGCACAGAAGAGAGAACTTCATAGGGGATTTGATAATTGTCATATACACATTAGTATTACCACGAGGCTGTATATATAGAGAAATGATTCTGTAACAAACTCATCAATATGCAAAATGGTAAGATAGGAGAACTTGCAAAGGTGTTTAATGAAAACAGACACACTAAGAGAATCAAAAGAAACAGAAATATATAGCAACAATAAAGCCTAGACATTGATTAGTTTTGTAACTTTACACTAATTCTGTAAAAATCTAAAACAGCAAAGATTGAAAGCTGTTAGTTGTATATCCCTTATAATTGTTTGGTTGACTTTCAAAAGTACAAGCTTACTGTGTGGGTTTGGCAAGCCAACTTATGTTGTGTTTGGCTTGCATTTGTGTCAGGACATAAAGGGAATGTGCATAGTATTAATAAATTTGATTGGAAATCAAAGGAAACTAACAACAGTTGAGTGTGATGTGGGTTTCAATATTTTCCTCTCTTGAAATTGGAAGTGAAGGAGGGAGGGAGGGAGTGAGAGGGAACTGGGATCGACATGCAAAATAATAAATTAAAAAAACTTGAACTCTGCATATTGGCAGACAACAATTCTGTATTGTGCCTATCATTTCTGTGGTCAAACTAAAGAAACATAATTTATAATAATGAGTAAAATTTCAGTTTAGGATGTGCTAGACCGAGTGCATACATCTCTTAGTCAAGACAGGCTAAGCTCATTCTCTGTACCAAGTACACTGATTATATCTTGTGCAAAAGACGTGACCTCATTCTCACTGAATGGAAAGTTTGTGTGTATTAAGTTTTATATTACAAGTATTTGCATACAAATCAACTTTCATCACCATAAATTTAGACATTCTGAGCCTTTAGTTTTGGTCTTACTGAAATAGACAAATATTAGTCTATAAATAGAATACTTGAAAAGGTTTGGAAATTTTCAGTGTGCTTACCTTTTTTATTTGTTCTTTTTTTATTTTTTACTTTGAACATTGAGAATTTATTTTTATTTATTTATTTAACCTTCTCTCACATAATACGTCCTAATGCAGATTTTTTCCTTCCTTTCCTCTTGGTGCCTCCGTAACATCTTTCCTCTCCCCTAGATCAACCACTCCTCTATTTTCGTTCAGAAACCCCAGAGGTTTCCCAGGGACATCAACCAAACATGACATTAAAATATGAACTAAGCCTAGGTAGGTAACCTCCTTTCAAGGCTGGACTATCAACCCATTAGGAAGAAAATGTTCCAAGAGCAGGCAAATTAGTAAGCAATAATCCCTGCTCCCACCCTTAGGAATCACATAGTAAAACCAAGCTATACAACCATAACAATTTTGCAGAGGACATAGCTCAGACCCATAAGGGCTCCCTGGCTGTTACCCTATTTCCGCAAACTGCCCTTAAATTTCAAGGGAGAGGTGTCTTCATGAAACTTAAGGAGTTATTAAGACATGAATCTGACATCTGGTAAAGCAACATAGGACCAACCTAGACTCCCTGAATGTGAGTGTTATTTAGGAGTATTGGGCAGTCTATGTGGCCTCTGGGAGTGGATCAGTATACTAATGGACTTTGGGATCCTATCTTGCAAGGAAAGATACTCCCTGAGCCTAGACACGTGGGGGAGGGCCTAGGTACTGCTCCAAATGATGTGACAGACTTTGAAGATTACTCATGGAAGGCTTCAACCTCTGGGGAGTAGAAAAGGGATAGAATGGGGTGAGGTGGGGGTAACAAGGGAGGAAAGGTGGGTGCAGGAACTGGGACTGACAAGTAAAACAAGCTTTATTCAAATTTAAATAAAAAATTTTTAAAAAGAGACACTAATCTATCAATATTTATGATTCTATGATAGCTTCTAAAATGTCAACTATGGTGATTAATGAGAAAAAATCTGCAGCAGGGTTTGTCATATGGTTGCTACTCTCTTGTGACATGTCTCACAACTACCAGTGAACTACCTCATTCCAATGCTTTTCAAATACCATTTGGGATATGGTTACATTTTGAGGTTTGCAGAGAGAATTTGTAGATCCAAAATACAAACCAGAAAAACTATCAGTCTATTTTAGTTGCACTTAAATATAACCTTAGAAATGCATATCAATTTGCTTCATTTTGGCCTTTTTTATCTTGTCTTTTCCCTGTTTGTGGTTGGAGTTTGTAAGGGGGTCTAGTTCCTTTGTTCTTTTGCATGTGTGGTTATTTGTAAAGAGAGAAATAGAGACAAATTTTTGAAACAGAATTTTGGCTGTGTAAGGAGCTGGGGGCGGGATCTGTGAGGAATTGAGATAGAGAAAAATATCAAAATGTATTATTTTTAGGAAAAATGGGGGGCACCACTTTTTGAACAACAGAGAATTTATTTATTGTAAAGAGACTTAACTAATTCGTTTTCTGCAAAAAATATATCCATGAAAGATTTGTAACAAAATTAGCACACAATACATAGCACAATATTTTATATCATTGAAATCTACCTAGCTACAATACTGGGTAAAGCACCAGATTGCTCCTTGTATCCCTACTGGAATAAGAAGTTAAGACATAAATCCTGATGGATATGGAATAACTAAAATCCAAAGAGGTCAATTCAGTTCCCATTTAATTTTAAAGATAAATACATCTTGGTTTGTACTGTTTTGATACAATGTTACTTTCATTAATACCCTATGTCTCTTGTGAAATGAAGACTATTATCTTACAGACTCTTTTAAATGTTCTGTGAGCCTTCCTACTCTTCTAAAATGTTGATAGTGACCAGTTCCCCCTTGGCCTGTCCCCCAAATCAGCTGTAATCTTTAAAAATAAGGTGTTCATGAAATCAAATAAAAAAAACAATGGAACATTTATATTTATATTCTATGTTCTCACAAAAGCTTGCTTTGAAATCCTGGCTCAGTCCCTTTGATCAGGCTCCTCTAGTAGTTAGTTGCAAGGTGACCTTCCATACCCTAACCAGCTTTTCACAAGAATGAATTACCTGAGCAGATTGAAGTGCAATGATGAGAACCTTTATTTAGCTCTTTAAAAATATCATATATACATATATATATACATATACATATACATACATACATACATACATACATATATATATATATATATATCTGAGGAGAATTTCCTATAAACATAATGTAATGTTCCAGAAAGGTTACTCAGTGTAAAGTGCCCTGTGGCCAGGCCTGATACATTGACTTGAATCCTGGAGCAGACAGAGTGGAAGGAGGTACCAGTTCCTGTAAGTACTCTTTTGACCTCTACAAAAGCACTGGAGCACTTGTGTGCTCATAGACATTCACATGAGTGTGCACACAAAAAAATTCATTTTAAAACTTCAACCATAACGTGTTTTTAAAGCTGAATTGAAATACTATTATAAACATGTGAAATCTGAATTATCTTTCATTTTATTTTATTGTTATGTGTGGCTGTTTTTGCTTGAATCTATGTTTGTTCACCACATGCATACCATGCCAATTGAGGCCAGAAGAGGTAATGAGATCCTCTGGGACTGGATGTTGGGGACCATCACCATCCTCACTACCTCAGGCCTCTGAGATAGAAAATTACTGCCTCTTAAGAAATAAGCAGAATGTTTAACAGAGCATTCCTAGATACAGGCTTGTGGTTTTACAAACAGTTAAAGAATATCTCAGGATATTCTTCCTGTTGTAGTTTTATAACAAGTTAAAGAATAGCTCAGGATATTCCTCCTGCTTGCAGTTTTACAGCCAGTTAAAGATTAGTTCAGGACATTCCATCTACTGACCCCTTCATCCTGCCCACTTGCACGCCCTGCTCACATCCCGCCTATGGTCTTATACAATCCTCTCCTGAGAAAATTTGGCAGTTTGATCAGAATACTGTCTTGTTGCCATCCTTTTTTGTATCCCTTGTCCTTCTATTCCTCCTAGGTGTTTACCGGTTCATCATTGACTGTCTCGCAGGTCGGGGCAACTGGAGTTACAGCAGTTGTGAGCCACAGTGAGGAAGTTGGTCACTGAAGTTAGGTTCTCTCTAAGACTGTAAGCATTTGTTCAGTGGTCTCAACTGCTGAGCTCTCTCTCCAGCCCTAACATCTGAGTTATCTTACTTTTATGTTTTTCATTATTTTGCATTTGTCTTTATATTAACGTCGAAGTTTATTTTCATTGGAACCAGTGTATTCAGCTTTAATTTAATAGGAGCCACACTGTCCTCAGAGCCATTTGGCCTGATAGAAAGAACATGACTGACATGATAGACCTGAGTCATAGGTATATGTTCATGTGATGCAAACTTGGGAAAATCATAAACCTCTATGAGTTCTATTTCTTCATCTACAACATGATAACATAGTTTTTGTTATGCTTACATGGTAAGGTTTTTCTATAGTTCATACATACTTTTTAGTAAAGGGTGACTTTTTTCCTAGTTTATAAAAACCCAGCTCTAAAACAAAGCCATTTTAAATATCAAAATTAATTATTGTTCACTTTATTATGTATTTACTGTTTTGTATTGATATTTTATGAGGATTTTGTTTAGGCCAAAACATGTTTAAATTATATTGCATGATCTTATTTTAGATATACTATTAGACCATTTAATTAATTACTTAATTTATTTTTTAATTTCATTTTACATTCAAACTATACTTCTTTTTCCTCCCACCCATCCTCCTGCTTCCCTTGGTTCTCTTCCAGCATATCATTGTCTACTTCTCCCAATGGCAAAGGGCTGCCAGGAGGAGTCAACAAAGTCTGCCACATTAAGTCTTTTCAAGATCAAAGCCCTCTGCATGCATTAACACTGAGTATGGCATCCCACCATAGGGAATACGCTCCAACAACTACCTCATGCACCAGGGATTGATACTGGACTACTGCCTAGGACCCTTCAGAGAGTTCAAGCTTCACAAATGTCTCCCACATATGGAGGACATTGTTCTGTCCCATGGAGGCTCCCAGCAATCAGTCTAGAGTTCATGCCTCCCCACAAGCTTGGTTAAGCAGTTTTTATAGATTTCTCCATCATAGTCTTGTCCTCCCTTGCTTACATATTCCCTCCTCTCTCTCTTCAACTGGATTCCCAGAGCTAATCCCTGTTCTTGGTCATAGATCTCTGCATCTGCCTCCATTAATTGGTGGATGAGAGCTATGTGATAATAATTGGGGAATTCACCAATCTATTTACAAGGGAAGGCCAGTTTAGACATTCTTTCCATTATTGCTAGGAGACTTAGCTAGAATAATCCTTGTCAATTCTTGGGAATGTCCCTAGCACCAGGTTTGTCCATAACCCCATAGTGATGCTCTCTATCAAGATTTCTCTTTCATTGTACTCCCACTCTGTCCTTCTCCTCAAAAACCATCCTGTTCCCTTATGTTCTCTCCCTCCTCCCCTTTATCACCCTGCCTGGTTCCCAGTTTACTGAGGAGATCTCCCATGAGACTATTTTTTAACCACATGACCTATAGTTATTGTGAAGAGACATAATTAATACTTTTCAGAAATATACCTACACAGGATTTGTAGTTAGTAAAAAATGCATAGCTGACATGGAAAATTATTTTAGAATGTACAGGACAAGAGATTACCACCAGAATCTAAAAAAGAAATTTTGAGCTCACAGAGGTACTTGTGCATGCCTGGAGGTACTTGTGCATGCCTTTCCTATCAGTACTTGAGGCAGGGTGATCTTTGTGAGTTCAAGGCCAGCCTGGTCTACAGAGTGAAATCCAGGATAATCAAAGCTACATAGATAAATCCTATTTGGAAAATCAAACAACAACAAAAGCAAAATAATTAAGAAGAGAGAAGAGAGGTTTTTTGTGTCCTTCTATGTGTGTATAAATATGTAAATCTGTACCCTAATAAAGGTTCCATTTCCTCCACTACGAGGGCTGGTTTTTGCACCAAGAATCTGCACAAGCTATCTCTTTTCTAGCTCCTACCAGTATTGATTTGTTTGTCTACATTATGCTTACTTTGAGTCTGGGAAGATGTCTCAATGGGAATGAACACTTGGTATTGTTTAATAATACCTGCATTTGAATTCTAAATAAACATATAAAAGGTAAGCATGATAGGATTGCTATAATCTCAGTGCTATGGCTGAAAGATAGGTAAATCTTGGGAGTTTTCTTGGTAAGGAGCTTAGAAAAAAAGTTCAGGTTCAATAAAACTCTTTGTCATGAGATAATAAGGTAGAGTGTGATAAATGAATCTCTGAATGTCTATACACAGAAACACACACACACACACACACACACACACCAGACACAAACGCTAAAGGTAGATACTGTTCTTTTTGGAAGATTGCATATAAATAAGAATTTAAAACCACCTCCTTGAGATCAGCTTTTTTCTTGGTGTTCTTCCATGTGCATATAGACTACGCATGCTAAATAAGCTGCTGATGCTGTATTCATTATCATTCTTTTGTTACAAGTTATGTTTCAAATAATAATTTATGAGGTTCAAGGAAGCCAAGAACAAGTGGTAAATGGGAGAAGTGGGGTGAATTTGGGAATGCTCTGACAAAGCCTTCAAGCAGTGAAAGGATGCTTTGTTTAATGAGCAAGGAAGAATTGCTTCCCAGGACAGAAAGCAATGGATTGATTGTAACTGGAATGTGAGAAGCAGGAGGAACTACTGCAGCTTGGCAAGGGCCCAAGAATGTTCTTTGAATTTGACTCAGATTGCTGCCACTTGACCTCAGCAGGTTAGAAATCAAACATAATTATATTTTTGAAATTTTCCCTCTAGATTTAATTCATCTTTATATCATCTTGAAATACAAACTAGTCTATATATGTATTTGTATATATGTATATCCTTTATCCATAGCACAAAATAAGAATTAGAAAAAATATATTAACAATATGGTTTCCATATTTTCAAAGACTTACTATTTTCAATTTAGAAAGTCTTCTTAGATGATGTTAGCATTTTCCACTTGTTTTGATATTCCCATTGGAGTTGATCTATTTTCCCTAGTTAGGTGCAAACCCATGAAAGGAATTTACATACATTTTCAGTCGACATGGAAAGATAATGCGGACCATATCACTTAAAATTTTGTAATAAGCATCCAAAATCTTCAATTTATAGTATGTATACAACTATAAAGTTGGTCACTTATGACAGTTAAAATCATTCAGTTAACTAAAAAGCCAGTTCAAAGTACCATTTTTAAAATTAAAATTACTGGAAACATCTAAGATTAACTACATTTTTATTTGAGACAGTATCTCATGCATCCAAAGTTAGTCTCAAACTCACTATGTATCTGAAGACAATTAACATCTGATCATCTCCTCCACCTTATCCATTAGGATTATAGCCTGTGATACCATTTCAGTATATAACTTGCATTTGAGAAGAAATTTCTTCAACTTTTGCAATCTTTGTGTATCTTTGAAGTTTTAACCAAATGATTTTCCAACATAATATAAGCATTGCTTTATTTATTTTTTCTACTATTTTATTTTGTTTCCATATTTCTCTGGGTAGTGTATACTATTATAATAATTTATATATAACTCTAAATAATAGGTCTAATAATTACATATCTAGGTGAAAATGCAGTTGATAATGAACAGAAGGTTAATAAATTCAGAATTTCCCCCTCAATTGAAGAATGGTTAATGAAGAAGTGGCACATCTACACAATGGAATACTACTCTGCAGAAAAAAATAATGGTATCTTGAAATTCGCAGGCAAGTGGATGGCACTTGAAGAAACCATCCTGAATGAGGTAACCCAGTCACAAAAAGAGGAACACAGTATGTACTCACTCATAAATGGATTTTAGACCTAGAGCAAAGGATCACCAGATGAACTAGGATACAAGGTGTATTCTAAGAGATTCATATAAAGTCCCTCACAGAACTGGGAAGGGACAAGTCCCCCAGAGCTCAGGTGAAGTGGGGGGGCAGCAAATGGAGAGAGAAGTAGGAGAAAATGAGGGGGAGGAAAGGAAAACATGTGTGACCAGGAAGATTGAGCCTGGTTAGGAATAGAAGATAGGAAAGAGAGAGAGAGAGAGACAGAGACAGAGAGAGAGAACATAAAAGAGGGAGCCAATATTGGTTTGAGGATAAAATTGAACACAAAGAAAGGTCGAGAGAACTACAAGACTGCTCCCAACTAACAATCTGAGCTTCCATGGAAAGGCTATCATAAATGCCCTTCCCGGAGAGTGAGATCAACAACTAACTTCTCTATGGAGCCCTCAACTAATGCCTGTTGAAAATAGGAGCAAACACCCATACATAAACACTGAGTCGAACTAGAACCCAGAAGTAGATGGAGAGGACAAGACCATGCGGCAGAAGCACATAAAGACAGCTTACCTGAACAAGGAGGAGCTAACAGCCACTAGACTGATAGCTGGGAAGCCAGCATGGGACTGACTCAGGCCCCCCCTGAATATGGGTCTCAGCCAGAAGGACTGAGCAGTCTAAGAGACCTCAGACAGTGGAGCCAGGATGTATCCCTGGTGCACAAAAGGACTTAGGAACACATCCCCCATGGAGGGATAACTGCCTTAATCTAGAGACAGGAGAGAAGCCCTAGTCCCTACTTCACAGGACCTGTCAGATCTACATGACCCCAACTGGATGGCATTCCCCTACATATGGAATTGGGGTGGGGGGATGGGAGGGGAGGGTGTTTAGAGTGCATGTGAGAGGGCAGAGAGGGCAAAAGGGAGGGAAAGAGGGAGAGGGAATTGGGATTGACATGTAAAATAATAAATTAAATTTAAAAAAATGCTTTGACTCCAAAATTTAAGTTCAAGGACAAGTTACTAGGGAAAGGGATTTCTATTTTTGTTTCCACACAAAATGAAAAGATGTGGATTCCTTCCAGACTAATGTGGTTTGATCACGCCAGACCGCCTGAAACAGAGTACCAGGTGATCCTACATTCAAAACAGCTGGACAAAACAGCCCTACAGACTACAGCTAGGATATCTGAATCTTCTTCGAATCCCCCCAAGACAGCGCCCCTTACCAG